CAGTGAAAATGCAGTATCCATCCATCCATCCATCCATCCATCCTTCTTAACTTCCTATCCAGTATAGGGTCACAGTGACCCTGGAGCCCAGGTGGCACCAGGTGACTCTGTATGGGATGAGCAGGACAGAAACTCACATATGACCGACATTTCATACCAGCTTCCCTGACTGTATGTGTTTTGGATCCAGGACAGAACCTGACGTACCTGGGGGGAAAAAAACACAGGGAGGACATACAAACTTCACATGTGCAGTGCCAGGAATCGAACCCACAACCTTCGAGGGGTGGAGCCACAGTGCTGGCCACCAAACCTGAAAGGGGGTAACAGGAATGAAAATTCCTTCTCCATGACAACAGAATCCAGTCCCTTTGAGCTTCTGAGATCAGCTCTAATGAACACAGGCCTGAACACAGCGATGCCCGTACGGATATCACTGCTGGTTACGTTGCATTAAGTGCATTAGTTTGCCACCCTGTAATTTGCATTCTATGTTTAGTAGGTGTTGAAGGAGAGGAGGGTTGAAGACGTCAGTGAGTGTGGCGTTATTCGCTTGAGTTGCCTTTAGTCGCCGCGGTGTTTGTTTGGGAATTTGGAACACACTCCTTTCTGGGAGGAACAGGGGCGCACAGCTGCAAGAGGTCATGTGACCTCACCGCCTGCAACGGCCTTCACTTTCTAGGTGTGGAAGGAAACCGCCAGGTGCTGGATGTGATGGGTGAAGATCTGACCGTGTCTTTGCTGGTGGGGGGGGGGGGGGGTCATCGGGCAGTGCCAAGCACCTCCATGTCTCCTCCTCTTCACCAGATGACTATGAAACAAATCGGTTTACAGAATTCTCCGTCACATGGGCTTGTGAGGCTGATGCTGGGGCGTTAAGCCCATCCAAAGGTTAAACGTGCCCTTAGGCTGCATTAAACTAAATGTGAAGCGTGGCAGCTGAGTGGCGATGACTTACTGCACCACCAGCCTTTGTGCAAAGTCATTACCAGTAACTGCGTGTTGTGCGGTATTTTAATTATTCTGGTAAAGAACTTGTAAAGCCACATGAACATTATTGTTGGTGACGTTCCCAAGTAACTTGCATTCTTGTGGTTGACTGCTTGTTTTACCCTTCCATGGGTTAGCCTGCAATTGCTAACCAAGCGTTCGCCATTGCTAGCCTAGCATTTCCATTCCGAGCTTAGCATTCACAATTGCTAGCATTCACCATTGCTAGCCTAGCATCCGTCATTATTAGCCTAGCATTACCATTCCTAGCTTAGCATTCACCATTCCTAGATTAGCATCCATCATTGCTAGCCTAGCATTGCCATGGCTAGCCTACCATTCCTCCTTCATCTCCGCTAACATTACACTGGGAATTAAAGGTTGCTGCAGGCCTTTCATCAAAAGTGGGTTTTTCAGCTTATTTTTGATTTTGGTCCCCCCCCCCCCACCTTCATCCTTCTTAAGGAGACACGGGCCTACCAGCGTTTTTTCCGCATCGCCTCCCTCCGTCTCTCTTGGGGCTGAAGGCCATGCGGCAGTAGAGAACGTGGCCCTGTGACCTGACATCCCCACGTCCTAGCCTCTTGGTGGGGTACTTAACCTCAAATTGCCCCGGTAAAAATATCCGCCCGTGGAAACAGGAGGAACACCGCTGTGGACAGAAATGCTCGTTATGAAGCGAATTTTGCCGAGGCTCAGTACATTGTCAGAGTCTTCGTTCCATCTGGATTAGTGCTCTGGGGTATGTTTCCTAAGCTCTCGTTAGCAACTTATATAGTTGGACCCATTCAGTTGCATGGTTGCAACTATGTAAGTTACTAATGTATTTTGCAGCTGTGTTTTTGGGAAACGCACCCCTGAGCAAGATTTGTAAAAGCTAAACCGCTCCATCATGTATAAAGCATGTTATTTTCCCCAGAACTAACTGACTTTGGCATTTAAGCTGCTTACACATGTGCGCACACGGCTCCATTAGCGGTAGACTGATCGCCGCCATGCAGAATTCCAGCCGCTATACTGTCAGCTGTGTCCAGTGGCACCAGTTAGCCTATTGTTTTGTTACAAAACTCTTTTTGCAGTGAGTCAGTATGAAAGGAGAATTCTTTTCCCCGTGCAAGAAATGCACCTAGAAATTACAGAATCAGGCGGTTCGGCCTCCTTTCCCGAAGCTGCAGTATTTCAGATGAACCTTTCAATTAGGTTTTCACTCTTCCCCGGGGGTTGGGGGGGGGTGCAGGATGGTGTTTCCAGCATTTTGGCGCAGCGAACTCTGAATGTCCCCTTGATGAAATCCCTGAGGGTCGCGGCGTGTAACGTAGTGCCACCTTTGTTGCGCCAGCGACGATCGGGCCACACACCGGCTTTTTTGCAGGTGGTGCAGACATATGCTGACCGCAGCGGTGTGTCTGCCCCCCCGCTTTGCTGCCGGCGTTTAACCCGGGGGCCAGAGCACACCAAGTGGACAGGTGGCCCCTGCTGGTATGAGGCCAGCGGGGGGGGGGGGTTACAGCTCATTTGTGTGCTTTTGTTTACATTTTATCGTATTTTAATTCTATTTCTTAATTCGTCAGTGTAAGTACCTTACACACACACACGCACACACATCTCTCGTCCCCCATCTTCGCTCCACTCCATGCCACCCCCTGCTGGCTCATGCCCGGCTGGGTGTCGTCAGAGTCTGGCACAATCCCCACTGCCAGCCAGCAGTCACCTTGGATTTTACAAACCCCCCCCCCACCCTGTTTCCCACCTCTCTCCAGGATGCAGACCCCTTCGCCTTCTCCCCTTCCACCTGCTGTGAAGAGCGTCTTGCTCCTACCCCCCCCCACCCTCCCAGTACCCTGATCCTCATCTGTGCTCAGCACCATTAAACCCTTTATTACAAAGATGTGTGCAGGAAGCAGCCCTGTAGTGACTGGCTTTGTTAAAGATCAGTATGATCGCTTTTATAATTGCTGTAGCGGTAATTGATATAATTGCTGCTAGCGCTGTCGTTATTAAGGCTGATGGTAAATGATGATGCTGGATAATTATTTGCCATGTTATTGTGTTTATCGAGGCCTCTTTCAGAATGTTACTTTTTGCTGATTTGAGGCTTTCGTAGTCTGTCACTATGAGAAAGTCCTGTGATGTTTGTTCTCAGGGAGGCATTTAGACACCTGCTTTTCGCCAGGCTTGATTGGACCAGCAGGTGGCGTAGTGGCTGAAGACACAAAGGACTGCTGACCCGAAAGATGCATGATGAGATCCAAGTCTGAATTTTTTCCTAGGTGATATCAGTCTTTAAATATTGACATAAGACATATTTCTTTAGTTTTGCTCACTTTGTGAGAATAGCGATCGAGAACTAGATTTAACATACAGTGGGATGAAGAGGCAGGTGATTGCTGGGATGATGTGATTGGTCACAGCTTGGTCAGATTGGTGACAGATTGGTCACATTGTGGGGAAGCTGACCAACCAGGCATCAGCGTCCGTCTCTCGGTGGTCTGAGGTATCCAGGCCCATCTCCGCCGTGCCTGAAGTGCGCCTGCATCACTCTGAATGGCGGTCATTAGGGAGATTGATCAGGCACTCTGCCTCTGCTCTCCAAGACGCCGGCCCAGAAGGTAGGATATCGACTTTCAGGGAGACTCGGACCACTTAGGTCCCCCGAAACACCACAGAAGCTAGATTTGCCACTTTAACCCGCTTAGGTGGCCTTTTCACCCTAAACACCATCCACGTCTGCATTCTCATCCTGTCACAGCAAGGACATCTGGTTCAGGGTTATTAAAGGTACCACTGTGAGCTGCCCCCCCACAGAGATTTGGGCCCATATTAGCCACACAGCATCACCTGCACCTTGCTATGTACATATAATTTTCTAATTGGTTTTTATGTGCTTCTTAAAGAAGAACGTCCTTCCGCAGAGACGGGCTCTGTGTCCATCCATCCATCACACGCCGCATCCTGCAGCCGGTCCCTGCAGCCGGTCCCTGCGGGTGAAACCTTATGCCTCCCTGCGTTTATCGACCGGGGAGGGATTTCCCGGGGCTTCGGCTCGGCATCCCGCCTGACCCAGTGGCCTCGTCATTTAGGGCTTATTATGGGATGACGGATTAGGCCACGTGCCGCGCTCTGAATCGCAGCGAAAGCATTCGTGTGCAGTTCTGCTTGGCACTACCCGCTGGATATCCCTGCTAGGAATTTTACAGTCACTGGCACAAATAAACAGACCTGCCCCCCACCACCCCGAGCCCAGGCTAATGAATGCGGGGGGTGTGCATTCATTAGGGGTGGCACACCATCAGAGCAGTTACCTTCTGAAGCTGTGTGTTGGCTCACAAGCTGCTGTCCCCTTGCTGCCTTCCCAGAAGCCCCCGCCTGGGGGGGTCGATGTAGTTTGCCCCCTCCACCACACTTGGAACCACCCAGTATCCGCTCCGAATCAGTCCATCTCGAGGAAAAGGGGGTGTGAGTCAAAATAAAGAGAGGGAGGTTCTGCACGCTGCCTGCTGCGGTGGGGGTGTGTTTCTGTGGTGGGGGTGTCATGGGCGGGAAGCTGGTTCATTGCAGGTCACACACTCACAAACGGTATGAGCAGTTTGTTTTTGGCTTGTGTGAGGAAACCCACACAATACAAGGAGAACGTGCGATCTTTATGGGGGGGGGGGGGGTCCATTCAGTCCTGCAGCTGTGGAGGTGTGAGGCACCGTGCTGCGTGTCTATATACCACGCAGGCTTTAATTTAGAAGTCATCTGAATCAGCAGAGGTGTAGTTGGTGCTGACTGCGTGCTTTGTGACGTGTCCAGTGAGCAGAACCTCGGTTCTATACTGGAGATCTAGGAACCAAAATCCAAATCATCGTGCTACAAAGAACAAAGAAGTAGGTCAGCGAATCCTTCTAAAGGTCACCACTGCATCCCCGAGGATGCGTACGGGACACAGCTTCATTCCAGTGCCTTTCGTTAATGACACCGATTATGTTTGTCTGCTCCATCCCTCCCCCCCCCCCCCCCCCCCACAGCCGTCAAAGTGAGCTGTACAGGAGCCTGTGGGGTCTCCAGCAAGATGAACGACACCTCGTGGGCGGTGGAGGAGCAGTACTTCAACAGCACACTGTCGGTGGCAGATAAAGGTGAGCCGTGTGGATCAGCCCTCTGTGGGCACACG